TCACTTGGTACACAAGCATAAATGCAGGCAAAGCACTCACACACATGAAATAATAAAGTACAAAATAAATAATATCTGCAGCTGTACAGCTGCTCTGTGAAATAATTTAGCAAGTTTTCAAAACTAGTAGACATAAAGTTGCCACTAAGCCCAGGCTACTTCCTGCTGCAGCAGGAATGACAAGCCCAGGGCGCATGGGAGTGAATGTCTGCCTCAGACCAGAATTGATGCGTAAGTTTGCTTTGTTACTGCAGGGTTGTGTGTTTGTTTTGTGTTTGAACAGAGTTCAGGAGGCTGAAGGGATGGTTCAGAGATAAAGAGCAGTTCTTCCGGAGGACGCAGGCTCAGTCTCCAACACCATAGATGGCTCATGCACATCCACGGTTCCTGTTGCAGGAGATTTTTCTGCCCTCTTCTGAATTCCAAGGGTAGCAGGTGTCCACTTGGTGGCAGGCAAAACACTGATACACAAAAAATGATCTTTAAAAAATGTAGTAGCATACAAGTAGCTCACTATTACGAGGCAGTGTGTTCTGTAACTCCGACCGAGACTGCCATTCGAGATGAGACACCAGGGCCGATTAGAAGCTGGGCTCGAGCTGTTTGTGTACAGCAGTGGAAATCACTGGTCAGGCTCAAAACAGTTAAAGTCTAACTGCTAAACAGCGGGGTGTTTTGTTTTCTATATTTGGCTCTTTTACACTAAGCCTTTTTGTATCTACACAAGTTATATGCCCAAGAGAATCGAAAACACGGAAATCCGTACATACAGTGTATAATCATGTCAGCACCATTCATAAGCGCTGAGGGGTAAAACAGAGGATATAAATGTCCACCTATTTAGGAAAAGACAATTGAAATGTACACATTTACACAACACAGTATCATCTGAACATAAAAGTGAAGCCCACGGGTTGTGCAGTGAGTCCTTGTCTCAGAAACAAAGACGCAGGTTAGAGTGCTAGATGCCAGGCTAAGGAGGGTCAGCCCATCAGCCTGGTGGAGGAGAGCCAGTTCCCACAGGCGTGTGGGGGTGCCAGGTCATAAGCGTCCCAACTGCACATCCAAGGAATCTGACACGCTCTTCTGATCTCACTGGGCACCAGACAGGCGTGTGGCACACATACAAAGATGCAAACAAACACTCATGCACGTAAAATAAGAAAAATAGAACTGCAACAAATATACAAGTAAATGATTTGTTATAGTTTTTTTATATTAATTACAACTTATTTATTTGGTATCCCAGCTGTAGCCCTGTCCCTCGTTCCCTCCCAATCCCATCCTCCCTCCCTCATCTCCTCCCTGCCCTTCTCTAAAGTAAAATGATTTTTTAAAACCAATCCAAAAAAAAAGGCGATCGGGTCTCAACCAACTTTCCTAGGAGAAGCTTTAAAGGACAGTTGTGTACCTCTGAGCACGTGTGTGTGTGTGTGTGTGTGTGTGTGTGTGTGTGTGTGTGTAAATGTCCCTTTTCCCTCCCTAGGATGTATCAGGTTGTTACAAGTGCCTTCTTTGCACTGAAGATCTAAGAAGGAAATCTAGAGATGTCCCGCAGGCTGAGAGTGGTGACTGGAGGTTATCACTGAGGTGTGATTCAGGCGATACATGCACCCTTGAGAACACAGTGAATAGTTCTGGGCGCCAACAGTTTCCCAAGGTGACTGAGGCGTCTCGCCAGCCCTGCGGAAGTACTACAACTTCTCAATATCCTTGTCTACAACTTTTTCGAATTGCTCTGGGCCTGAAGGTCGAGAGTGCCTTTGATTCTCATGTTGTTTTTTCTGTGTGGAGCCTCGCCTTTAGGGGCTGAGCCATCCCTGGCTAGCCAGGTGCTTCAGCGGGTAGGAGTAGTTTGCTCTTGCAGGAGACTGGGGTTGGGTCCCAGCGCCCACAGCTGGCTCACAAGCACCTTCAGTTCTAGTCTGGGGCTGGAGACGCGGCTCAGCTCTTAAGGACACTGGTTGGTCTTGGAGAGGACCCAGGCCTGGTTCCTAGCACCCACGTGGGGGCTCACAACCACCCAGAGCTCTAGTTCCAGGAGACCTAATATCTTCTGGACATGGTGAGCATTCACACGTGTAGGCAAAGCACTCACACACGTTCAGTAAATAAACACAAAAATAATTTTTAAAATAAGGTGCCAATTTTTGTATGCTTTACTAATTCTAAATCAGTTATAACAATATGTAACCGTTAAAAAAAAAAAACATTTTGTTGTGTGTAAGTGAATCACATATTGTTATGGATTCAGGAATAGCGCATACTGACCACTCAGATACCAGACTCAGATTGGTGGAAGTTTACTGAACGCCGAACAAAGACTGACCAGTCAGGGCCAAAATCCTGACTCGGGGAATCAGACTATGATGCCAGTCCGTTTCTAAGGCAGGTTTTTGTTGTTGTTTTTTTATATGAAAACCGTAACCAGGTAAGAACCGGGTAACCAGGTACAGGGAGCAAGGCCGGGGATGGCATCACATCATTTTGACCAGCTAAACGTAACCGATTTTGTTCCAAGTGTATTGTGCTATATCAGGCAACTAGACAAAGCTGATTGGCTGGGGTTTCGGGTAGGAGCACTTTCGGGGGACTTTCCAGCTTTCTGGGAGTAAGGAGCATAGCAGGACATTTCTCTTTAATTCAAGCAGAACCTGCCTGTGTCATCTGTTGCTTTATTCTAAGCAGCAAGCATGGAACTATTGAATTGTATCTCATTCTCACGCACTTTAGAGCCCGGGGAACTTGAACTTATTCTTACCTCATACTCAAGATGGGGACAGGGAGGTGAAATGGCTTCTGATATGCTAAAGGCGACAGCAGGTGTTACAGAGGAGCCGAGGTTATGCTGAGAACAAAAGTAGGTCTCAACGCAGGAGCTATAGAGTTGAAGCAGCTTGCAATATCGAGTTAAGTGATAAGGTTCACAGCTTTCTCCCCTAAGGGCGGTGACACTATGAGCCTCTAGAACTGTAGAAACTGGGACTGTGGAAGGAGGCAGAGCCTGCCAGGCAAGTAGCCCAGTCAAATCTCCCCAGCTGTAGGGATCCAGCTTGACAAACCTTCTGCCGTCATGGCTGTAACCTCCATTTCAGGCACCAGGTGACTGTGGCCTGCATCCCATGTTCTACAGGAAAAAGACACACAGGACAATTGTGCTGGGCCAGGCAGCCATGCATGACCCTTTTGAATTGCTTGCTTGTTTGTGACAAGTTTAGGCTGGCCTTGAACTTGGACTCCTACCTCAACCTCTGTAATGCTTGGATCACAGGTATGTGTCACCATGCCCATGCCAGGCTGAGATGTTCACTTTAGGAAACCGGTTCACAAGGCAGGGTCATGACAAGGACAACCCAGTGGAAAAGGGAAAGGACTGGGAAAGAAAGGAAAGTAAGAAAGGAGGGGGATGGCCCCACTGAGCGCTTCATTAAGCCAGGTGTGGTAGCACAGACCTGCAAGCTCAGCACCTAAGGGCTGGAGGCAGGAGGATCAGAAGCTCTAGCTTACCCTGGGATACAGAGCGACTCTGAGGGCAGTCAGGGCTCTATGAGACTCAGTCTAACCCCTCCCCCCAAATGTAAATAAAATTACTCCCAGCACTCTGGGAGGCAGAGGCAGGTGGATCCCTGTGAGTTGCGAGACCAGCCCCATCTACAAAGCCAGGGCTGTTACACACAGAAACCCTGTTTGGAAAAACAAAGAGAGAGAGAGAGAGAGCTATTAAAAAAAAAGGAAAAAGGGTTAGGGAACCAAGTGGGATGGGGAGTAGAATCAAGAGGTCAGAGGCTCAAGGATAGCCTATGTAAAAAAGAAAGAAAGAAGGAAAGAAAGAGAGAGAGAGAGAGAGAGAGAGAGAAAGAAAGAAAGAAAGAAAGGAAGGAAGGAAGGAAGGAAGGAAGGAAGGAAGGAAGGAAGGAAGGAAGGAAGAAAGAAAGAAAGAAAGAAAGAAAGAAAGAAAGAAAGAAAGAAAGAAAGAAAGAGAAAGATTGATTAGGGGAAGCAAAGCTAAAGCTAATGCCCCCATTTTATGATCTCATTTCCCAAATTTCTCCAAAACAGCTCACTGTCTGTGCTTTCGTTCAGAGCACAGCTTTGGTCTCCACCTGTCCTGAGAGAGCCGGGTGCCTGCTTTGGATGGGGAGGGGAGTGTGATGGGGACAGCCCTGCGCTGAGCTGGGGAAGACTGACAGAAACTGGGAATCTCATGCAGGGGAGCTCCCTGCTTTGGAAGCAGCAGCGTGCCTTCATGGAGGAATGGGGTGGACGGTAAGTCCTCCTGGAGGACAGCATCCAACTACAGGCAGACAGACAGTGATGCCGGGGAGAGGGGAAAACCAGCGAAGCTCTCAGCAGAGCCTGCCGTCTGCCCCCACACCCATCCCCACCCCACAGTGTAGGTGACCCCACTTCCTTCCAGCGGGCTGAGTACAAACCTTGGGATCTGGGAGTTTTTCTGTCCTGTCTGGCACCTGAAAACATTGTCCTTGCTCAGTCGGGTGATGTGGGGACTCGGGACTGGCCACTGTGGGACTGGTCTGCACTTGGACACTGGTCCTTCATTTGTTTTTAGGTATTGGAAAGACTTTGAATTTCCCTCTTTTCCTCCGTTGCCTCCGTCGATTAAGTCGTTTCATCCTCAGGGGGCACTTGTGGGTTTTCACAGTGCACCCTACCACACCTACTCCAGCCTCTGGTGTAGCGTGTCAATAGATAGCGCTACTCAGACTAAGAGATATGTGTCCTTCGGGATTATGCTCTCTGGAGGTCCCTGGCAGCCCCCCCCCCCCCCCCCCGCCTGGCAAAGAGACGCATTCTGAGATTTCTACGCTTTTTCGGTTGCGGTTGTGGGGCTGGATTAATGAGTTTTTTTATCTTTCTTTATGATTCCTGAAACAGCACAATTAACTATTCAAGGAAATGCCCCGGCTCGCAGGGATAGAAGAGAATCCAAACCTGTGAAAAGATGAGCTGAGAGAAAAGAACGAGCCCAAGCAAACAGGTGCTTGTCAAGGACTAACTTTACTGAGCAGAATCAGCTTTTATAAAGGGTTCAGGATAAGGAAGTAGGGTGGGTGAAAAATTACAGATTCTTCTCGGCCAGATTTCTTCTCTGAAACATCTTGTGATAAGCCACGGTTCTGTGAGCACATCTCTGCTGTTGCCAAGCAGTATGTTTACTGTAGGTAAGGGAACGGGCATCTCCAAGCAGTATGTTTACTGTAGGTAAGGGAACAGACATCTCCAAGCAGTATGTTTACTGTAGGTAAGGGAACGGGCATCTCCAAGCAGTGTGTTTACTGCAGGTGCAGGTAAGGGAACGGGCATCTCCAAGCAGTATGTTTACTGCAGGTAAGGGAATGGGCATCTCCAAGCAGTATGTTTACTGCAGGTAAGGGAACGGGCAAGTTGAGGCAAGTTGGTGAGCTTCCACAGGTGGTCTCTGAAGTTGGCGAGTTCTCTCAGGTGGTCCCTGACAAGGAAATATATTCTTGATGGATTATCAAAAGCTGTAACAAGAATAGGGTGGAAGAAAAGTAGTTTTAAAAGAAGTAATGAATTAGATTTAGTATTAACAGCATTATAAGAATAGTGAAAAAATAATAGGCTCCTTCTTAAGAAAAAATAGCATGAGAAGTACAGCTGGCTCAAGCTTGTCCCCCTTATTGTCTTGTTCCTAGGGAATATCGTAAATCTTTAGCAGGACATATGGGAGGATGGTTGACAAAGGTGTGTTTAGACTTTGGTAGGCATCTGACTTAGCTCCTGACTTTCCTCTTCATTGGTTAGCAATAATGAAACTGTATTTGAGGTTTCTTTCCCTTTGTCTGCTTTGATCAAAAGTTTTTAGGTCAAGATTTTTTTGTGGGCACTCCCCTATGTTAAAATGTAAACTTTGTATTCTTGGTAAAAGTCTAAATGTTCTGAGAAGTATGCCAACTTTAAGGTGCCTTTTTGTGAAATCACTATAAAATTATCAACTTGACTTCAGTAAAATTGCAGCAGAGCCAAAACCAGCAAGGTGTCTCTGTCTGTCAATTCATTGCCGAAACCCCGTCTTCCTGTCCAGAGCCTTGTTCCCCATGGACGCAGGGAATCCGACTGGGCTGGTCCGTGGCAACCCCTTTTATAGGAAGGTGTGTGGGCTGTGAGAATGAGTGAAGAGAAGACTTGCCTTCTTGTCCAGCTGAGAAGTAGTGGTGCTCAGGAGACCCTGGGATTTGAACACGTGACATAAGGATTGTGCTACTGAGCTATACCCCAGTCCAGAACCTAAATCTCCTGCAGCGACAGGCTACAATTGCTCTCAGGCGCAAAAACCACCAAGAGTAACATACTATTGCCCTGTGCCGGGAGCTGTGAGCCATTGTCTCTAGCCCAGACATTATGGGGCACAAGGAGTCACAAGGACAATGAAATGTCAGCAGCTCGGAGCCCTAGCAGGTACAAGTTTACAGTGTCACCCACCCCTGTCCTAACACAGAGACGGGAATCTCCGGGGAGGGAGGGTCACCAAGCTTTGAGTTTTCTCTTTGACATCCACCGGGCAGAGAAGGTTCAGGGGACAATGGGAGTTTATTCCAGAATCTGGAAGAAGAAAGCTCCTCTGCCTAAAACCACGTATGGACATAACTTAATTAGCCAAAAGGAATGTTAGCCATTATCCTGCTCAGCCAGATTTTCAAGCTGGGGTCTCCAGACTTTGAAGAGACTTGGTTTGCTCTGTAATAACTTTGTTTTTGTTTTTTATTTATTACAAGTTATTTATTTTTATCCCAGATGTAGCCCCCTCCCTCGTCCCTTCCTAATCTCACCCTCCCTTCTTCTTCTCCCCATATGCCCCTCCCCAAGTCCACGGATAGGGAGGTCCTCCTCTCCTTCCCTCATACCCTACCCTATCAGGTCTCATCAGGACTGGCTGCATCATCTTCCCCTGTGGCCTGGTAAGGCTGCTCCCCCCTCCCCCTTAGGGGGAGGTAATCAAAGAGCCAGCCCCTGAGTTCATGTCAGAGAACTGTTCCCCTTACTAGGAATCACACTTGGAGACTGAGCTGCCGTGGGCTACATCTGAGCAAAGGGTCTAGGTTATCTCCATGCATGGTCCTTGGTTGGAGTATCAGTCTCAGAAAAGACCCCTGGACCCAGGTTTTTTGGGTTTTGTTGCTCTCATTGTGGAGTTCCTGTCCCCTCCAGGTCTTTCTATCTCCCCTCTGTAATAACTTTTAAGAGTAGTAAAAAGGCTCTTTAGACAAAACATGCTCATCAGATGAGAGACATAAACAAGTGATACCATTATGCAAAAGCATCCAGGACAGGGAGAACTGAGAGCCGGAAAGAGCAAACAGCAGCGTTGCCTGCCTCTTAGGGTCCAGGGGTAAAGGGAATGGAAACAGCACTTAGGAAGGACTACAACGCTTTCATTGAGGCTGTCAGCTAGGAAATGTCTACAGAGAGTCCTCTGCTAAGCCAAGAACAAAGGAAGGCCAGGCAGGAAAGGGGGAAAAAAGAGCCAGGGTGTTAGCTCCCATCCCCGAGGATCCAAGCCAGGGCCTCGAACTTGTGCTCCACCGCTGAGCTAAACCCCTAACCTGTCCTTAAAAAAAAAAAAAAAAAAGACATTTATTTTTATTTTCAGTGTGTGTCTGTGCATTGTGTGTGCCTGGAAACCATAGAGGCCAGAAGAGGGCATGAGACGCTTGTGAGCTGCTATGTGGGTGCTGAGAATCGAACCTCGGTCCTCCAGAAGAGCACCAGTGCTCTTTAACCACCGAGCCATGTCTCCAGAACCCACCTGTCCTTTAATATCGTTATTGTGTATGATGTGGACGGGGCATGCGTCAGTGTGCACACGGAGGTCAGAGGTCAGCTTTGGCGCTGGCTCTCCTTCCACCTTTATGTGAGCTCTGGGGACTGAACTCACCAAGCGTGCGGGGCAAGCCCTTGCCTGCTTAGCCATATCTCTGGCCCCGCCTTTCTCTCAGTGCTGCTCCCAGAAGCAGCTTCTGTCCTTCTTGGCTGGCTCAAGAGGCCTGAGGACAACCCTCCATGCTCCGCTGGCCAACTGGAGCAGAGTCAGGGCCAGCCAGCTGGCAGGAGAAATGTCTGGAGAGAGTTGCCCAGCAGCTAGCAAAGGAGAGCATGCAGTCAGGTTCAAGCGTGTCAGTGCGGGGCATGTGTGTGTGAAGAGGGCTTAGTGCGGGAATTATGAAACCAGCACAGCAAGCAGGAAATCCCCACTGCACCCCAATACTCTTCCTGCTTCTGAAAACACGGAGCCCACTTACCTCCGTAGTCCCGAAGCTACGTGCCCAGCGCTGGCCCACTGGCGGCTGCCTGGGCTCCCCCATGCCAGAGCCGGCTGTGGATGCCAAGGCAGGGTGAGGAGAGGAAAGCTTTGGTGATTCAGAGCAAGAAGAATATGGCCGATCTACGCGTGCAGTCCAGGGCTGCCGAGCGGGTGTGGCCCGTTACCTCCACCAGGACGAGGACTCCACCTTCAACAACACTTTCTGTTAATCTGTTGTTTTCAAACACGTTGAAACAACATTTGTCTTTTTATAGTATAAATGTCCTGTAGCCTTGATTAGAGCAGCCCTGGATTGAAAATACTTACAAAGTTCCATACTGAGCATGTCCGGGTTTTCTCCCCACCCCAACATTATCCCTAAAAGCAGTACACTATAGCTTCGATACTGCACAGCATTCTCGATGCATTATAGGACAGAGGTATAATCTTGCGGAACGCAGGTCTCCTAATGTAAATTAAGGTATTCAGAAGGATGTGCAAAAGTCACGTGCAAAACCCACGGCATTTTATGGAAGGGACTTTCAGAGCTTGTACTTTCTGGTGGCTGCAACGTCATGAAACCAACCATGGTCACCGAGGGGTGACAGCACCATTTGAAGCAGAACACCGGAAACTACTGTTTTCCAAATCTACTCAGTCTCACTTTCCAGACCAGCACAGCTGGCTACGTGCCTGGTGCCTGGTGGCTCTTGCAGCACTCAGGGAGCCAGTCTGGGCTACAGAGCTCCAGGACAGCCTGGGCTGCAGAGGAAGACCCTCCTTCCAAGACAGACAGACCAAAAGGCTGGGCACAGTGGCTAATGCCTGTGATCCTGGCATTTGGGGTGGGGATAAAAGCAGGAGAATCTTGAGTTCAAGGCCAGCCTCAGCTACATGGAAATCTTGAAGTCAGCCTGGGTTGACGTCCTCCCAACCTCTGTCTTGGGAGAAAGAGGAGAGGAGGAGGAGATTGGCAGGTTGTCACTGTGTTGAGCTGCTTTCCGTCTTTTGGGTTTGTTTTCCACAGGGTCCACTGGCTTGAACTTGAAGTTACAGCAGTTATGCCCTGATTCCTAGATGCTGGGCGCAGTGAGCACTTCCATGCCCAACTTGGAATTTTATTGTTATGAAGTTTTTGAGGTCAGCCAGGCATGGTGGTGCACACCTGTAACCCCAGCACTTAGAAAATGGAGGCAGGAAGATCAGGAGTTCAAAAGCCAGCCTCAGATGCATGTTGAATTTGTGGTTACCCCGCGCTATATAAGATTGTCTTTGAAAAGATAAAAAAGTTTGGGCTGGGCCAGGCAGTGATGGCATATGCCTTTAATCCCAGCACTCAGGAGGCAGAGGCAGGCAGCTCTTTGGAGAGCCAAGGCTACACACAGAAGCCCTGTCTCAGAAAAACAGAACAAAAGTTCTGGGCTGGTAAGGTGGTTTAGCAGTTAATACTGGCTGCTCTTCCTGAGGGCAAATTTGATTTCCAGTACCCACTGTCTGCAATTCTAGCGCTAGGGCATCTGATGCCGTCTTCCTGCCTCTGAGGTCACCAGGTACATACCTGGTCCACAGATATACATACAGGTAAAAGATTCACGCACAGAAATTAAGTAAACACATTGACGAAAACTGACAAGACACCTGTTTGCCAGGCATGGTGGCCCACGGTGAGCATGGGGGGTGAGAAGGCAGCATGAGGGCGTGAGTCCTCTCCACCACCACGTGTCCCAAGGGCTAAATGCGGGTGTCAGGCGTGGTGACACTTCACCCACTCAGCCATTTCACCAGATCCCGGTGTAGCTCCAGAGTCTCTCCTACACTGTGCTGTCACCAGTGTTCCCGGATAGGCCTGCGAGCAGGGGCCTGCTGTGCCAGGGGGTGTCCCCAGCTCCACACTAAGATGCCCTGGTGAGGAAACTGAGGCCTGGAGGGCTGACTTGCGAAAGAGCAGATTCCAGATTGAGGTCACTGGCCCATATAGGCTGGCGAAGTCACTGTTTGCCCTGGGTGCCCTCTGCCCGTCTTTGAGAGCTTCCTCTGGACACCCTTCCCCGATTCTCTACACCTTGCCATGCCTTTCCTCTCCCTCCCACAGGCATCTCACTGTTCCCTGTGCTGAAAGAACAACAGCACTTGAGCCAGGATAAAGAAACTGTGTCAAGAAATCGGGCAGGTGCAAGGGCAGAGCTCAGTGGCAGGGTGCTTGTCCAGCATGCCCCAGGCCTTGGCCCATTACCCAGGCCATCAAAGAGGGAAAAACCAAAACAAAGAGCTCAGGCAGCAAACTTACAGAATATTAATACATTTACATTTTTCTGATTATAACTGTAACAGATACCAGCGGGGGAGAACTTGGAAGATAAATTTCCACTGTGTGACTCAGAGGACCACTGAGAATGTGTAACAAATACCGACGGAGCCGGGTGTACTGCGTCACACCTGTAAGCCCAGCACCCAGGAGGCTGGGACAGATCTGACGAGGTTCAAAGCCAGGCTACACTACATGGTGAATTTGGGGCTGTAGAGTGAGACTCTGAGTTAAAAAACATAAACAACAAAACCATAACAAAAACACCAGAACAAAACACTGATAGACACATTCAGTAGTTGTTTATTTCCAAAATTTTATGAAACTATCTTATTTATACAAAATGATTCATTCAGCCAGCACCTACTGTATGCCAGGCAGAGCTCTGGGTTTAGATATGTAGCAATATTTATAGCAATCCAAATCCTCATTCTCACGGAGCTACAATCTTGTGGGAGAAAACAGTCAACAAATAGAGGGCTGGTGCTGGGCACAATGAAGACGGTAAAGCTGGGGAGGAGAGTGGGGAGGCTTCTGGTACTGAAACAGAAGGCTGTTGAGGAAGGCTACTGTGACAGGTGATGTCGAGGTAGGGTCCAGAAGCCAGTGACTCCATCACCCATCCACTCACTCACCCAGCATTTATTGAACTTGCCTGACGCTGAGGATCCAGGGAATAGAGACGGAGATGTTCTGGGTCATACCTCCCCCTTTCCAGGGCAGAAACTGATGGGGGCATTGATTGTTTGGTGCCGAATTTTTTTATTTCCTTCCTTCTTTCCCCAACCCCCACCCATTCCAGTTCTGGCTGGAGTTGGCCCCTGACACTCCAGGCCACCTCATCCCAAGGATTGGGATGTGACTGGCCATACCACACCTAGCTTCACACCCAGCTCAAGCGACAGCCTGCCTCGGCCTCTCGGGCTGCTGGAGCCAGGAGTGTGGACAGCTCAGACTTTGCTCTCTTCCCCTTAATCGTTTGAAAAGTGAAAATTTCAGGATAAGGAACAAGAAGAAGATCTATCCTAAGTATTTTATCTTTTCCTCTTCCTCCTCCTCCTTTTTATTAGACAAGATATCTGTGTAGTCTTGTCTGACCAGGCTGCCTCTGCCTCATGAGTGTCAGGATTAAATGCCACTGAGCCTGGCTAGTATTTTAATTTGAACACATAAAAAGTCTAAAGTGAGTATCTACTTTGCTCCCAAATTAAGACTGGCTCAGCTTTATCTCTGTTCCCTAAGACATGCCCACCCCGCTGTGAAATAGAGCGTGATGTCACTTTCCCATTACTTAATAAAGAATTCTGACAAAGTCCATTGTGAAATGGCTGTGGTGCTTCCTCTCCTATTACTGTAATAGGGAACCCTGACAAAGGCAAATTGGTGTAGAATTTGAGGCTACCAAGATGGAGAAGGCTAGCAGCAGGAGCTAGGCTGGCCAGCTGCTAACACTGCAATCAGCACTGGTGTTGAGCTCTCTTTCCCTTCAGTCTAGGACCCCACGATAATTAACCGAATCTAGGAACTCCCTTCCAGACTTACCCAGGAGCTGTTTCCAAGGTGATTCTAAACTCTGGGACAAAAGGCCCTGGGAGCATTGGCAGGCTTTGAAATCCTACAGTTGAAGCTGACATCACTGTCCCTCCTCTCCAGCTTGTAGAGTCAACGCCGCAGCCAGTTTCCTGTTCCCGTCTGAAATGTTTACCAGGGTTCAGCTTATCTTTACTTTCTCACACTAATCACAACTATTAAAAACAGTTGTGAGTGGCCATGCTTTCGTGTGTTTTCTAAACATTTCACCACTCTCTTTTGGCAGCTCACTTCCTTTTGACCTTCCTTTTCTTCTGTCTTAAATACATTTCCTTTAAAGACATTTCTGCCTTAAATATGTTAAAGATATTTCTGTCTTAAATAAATTTCCTTTGTAAAGGCCTATGGTGTCACTGTTATCTGAAGATGTCAGTAACTTAGTATCTTTTCAAAACAATGTTAGGGCTTGGGCGGCCTGTGCCTTAGTCACAGCACTTGGGGGACCAAAGTAGATTTAGTTGAAGGCCAGCCTGGGCTACACAGCAAGACTCTGGCTCAAAAGTTAATGATCTGACTTCATTCTGACATAATACATGCAACATTTCACAGCTTCCGGTGTGTGCAGGGGCAGGGGGATGGGCAGCGAGCTAAATAAGGTCCCAGGTTGCTCCGAACTTGTTATCCATCATAAAATGACCCTGAAAATTTGATCCTGCACGCCCCAAGTGTTAAACTCACAGGTATGCACCAGCATGCTCAACTAGGGAAATGCTGGGGATTGAACCCAGAACTTCAAACACTGCCAACAAAGCCCGACTCCCCAGCCAAGTTTCAACCTTTAAATGAAGCGAGTAATTCAGTGGGTGTGAGTGCACTCACAGGTGTGTGCGGCTATCAGTACTAATTTCAGAATATTGCATTACCCACCAGAGAGGGAAACCCCCTCTGGGTGTAGTGAGCACCCTTTTGATCCCAACACTCGGGGGACAGAGGCAGGTGGGTTCCATGCTAGACTATTTTATATAGGTGTGTCAGAAACCAAAGGGGAAGAAACCACCCACCTTTTCATGTGGTGATCATTAACCTATGTTATTATCACTTTACGTTTTTGTTTTTGGAGACAGGGTTTCTCTGGGTAGCCTTGGCTGTCCTGGACTCACTTTGTAGACCAGGCTGGCCTCAAACTCACAGAGATCCACCTGCCTCTGCCTCTCTGAGTGCTGGGATTACAGGAGTGTGCCACCACACCCAGTGGCTTTAGATTTTTTTGACATGTCCCCTAAATGGAATCATACATATTCTTCACGTCTGTTTTATTATTTCACGTGTGTGAACCTTCACCCGTTTGTCCACCACGAGCGTGCAGTGCCTGGTGAGACTGCCAGTTGTGAGCCACCACGTGGGTGCTGGGAGTTGAACGTGGGTGCTGGGAGCTGAACTCGGGTTCTCTGAGGAGCGGCCAGTGCTCTTAACTGCGGAGCCAGCTCTTCAGTCTGGTTTGTTTTGGTTAGCATGTTTTCAAGCCTCCTTCACATTTCGGCATATACCCGCGGGTTCTGTTTAGTTTTCAGTTTTTCAAGGCAGGGTTCCTGTGTGTAGCACTGCTATCCTGTGACTCTGACCAGGCTGGCCTTGAACTCAAGAGATCTGCCTGCCTCTGCCTCCCACGTGCTGGGATTAAAGCCACGTTATTTTAAAACAGTGCTGCTCGGAGCCCAGGCTGGCCCTGACTGACTAGGCCCTGGAAGATGAATTTATCTTGGTCCTCACCCACCTCCCAAATGCTGGATTATGGGTGTGGTGGCGGGTCAGTTAAGCGATCTACATTCCAGCCCTCCTCAACCTTTTCTGCGGACGGTTACCAGGTACTGACTGGCCCTCCTTTTCCTGGCCTATGGCGATTCCTGACGGATGCCCCTGATTTATATAGCCGGCCTCCTCAGGCCTGAGCAGCTGGGGACAGTACTGGGCTACTTCCACCCTTCGCTCTACACCCGCAGGGCCCCGCGTACCTGAGGGGGAGTTCCCGGGAGGATTCTGGGTAAAGGGGCACGGACACTGCGTGCAATGACGAACCGTGCTGATGGGGTTGCTCAAGAAAGCGGATTTCCAGGGCCCTGTCTGCCCGACAGCCCGTCTCTGTTCTTCCGGGCATCCCGCCCTCCCTGTCACACACCAGTCATCCTGGGAAGTGGGGGAAAGGTCACGGCAGTCACGTCCCTCCAGCTCTGTTCAGCTCAGAGGCGATGGGGTCTCCCCCACACAGAGCCGCACAGGAGCGGTCACCGTTAGACCTGCCCGCGACTCCAGGGCCCTTTGCCACCCTCGGCTTCCCCAGGAATCTTCCCCGAGATGGTCCTCTCGGGGCGGCACGTCGCTGTCTGGGTGGGGGCTGGCGGGTGAGTGGGCAGGCAGGTCAGTTTCCAGCCGTGAAGCCGGGACCGTGAGCTCTCCCCTCCCTAGTGCAAGCTAAAGGCACCGTTAAAAGCAAACGGCTTATTTTAAAGGAAAGAAAACAGACACCGTCTGAGGGCTGCAGCCCTCGCTGGGCTACACGGGAGGATCCCGACTCAAAAGAACGCACTACACCCCCAGGAGCGCTGTCCCTGCAAGCGCGGCTTCCGGCGGCGGGGAGGGCGGGGTAAAGGCGCCATCGCGCTCCCGGCTTTCTGGAGGGCCGGCGGGGCTGACCCTCAGGCCTGACCCTCCCGACCGCAGCGAGTCAACCGCGGGCCGCGAGCCCCCCGCGCCGCGCAGAGCCCGGGGCCGCCACGGGTCGGCTGACGCAGGGCGAGCGGACGTGCCCGGGAGAGCGCGCGCAGTGCGCGTGCGCGGCCGCGGGGGCGGGGCCGCGGGAGGGCGGGGCCGCGGCCGGGAGGGGCGGGGCCTCGGGGCGGGCGGTTTCTCTTTGCCGCCCGCCTGTGTGTGTCCCGAGCAGTGCCCGCGTGCGGCGTCCACGTCGCGACTCCGCCGACCGTCCTCTTCAGGCCTACACGACCTGCTGCGACTCTTCCTGCCGAGGTAACTGGCCGGGACCCCATCCCCCAGGCCGGAGGCCGAGGCCTGGGTCCCTCGCCCCATCGCTCGGGGTGGGAGCGTGCCCCGGAGCCCCCGTCGGCTGTGCGTCCCCTCCCTATCCCCGCATTACACTGCTGTGTGCTAACCGTCCCCTTGAAGGCTGGGTTCTTGTCTGTGGGACGACGGTGTGGCCTCAGGGCCTTCCAGAGTGCCTGAGCCATTTGAAAACGTTCGAGGATGTTGAAAACGTTTGGACAAGTCAACTTGATTTGACTTTGAGTGGTTTTGTGGTTGCTGCGTTTTGTCTTGAGGTCCTAGGGATTGAGTTTAGAGTCTTGTATGCACTAGGTAAGGCTTATACCACGGGGCTGCGTTAGCAGACTTTGTTTGCTTTTGATTTGGGACAAGGTTTCACTAAGTTCCCCAGGTTTGCTTTGTGTTCTCTCTGTAGCTCAGGCTAACCTTAAACATGCATTCTTTCTGCCTCAGCCTCCGTCATAGCTGGGATTACAGGTTTTTAACACCCTGATCGTTTATACTTATATTGACTTTAAAGAAGTTTCTAATCGCCGGGCGTGGGTGCCCCACACATTTAATCCTGGCACTTGGAGGCAGAGGCAGGTGGATCTCTGAGTTCCAAGCCAGCCTGGTCTACAGAGCTGGTTCCAGGACAGCCAACTTGAATGTGTGCTACAGACATAGTTTTTATTTCTATATAAGTGTTTTGCCTCCATGTTTTGTGTGCATGTTTGCTGTGCATCACAGGTGTGGCCTGTGGAGGACAAAAGAGGATGTCAGAGTCCCTGGGACTAGATTTACAGACCATGTGGGGGGCAGTTGTCTACAAGAACAGTGCTAACTGCGGAGCCATCTCTCCAGCTCGATTTTCTTGTTTCCATCTGCCCCATGTGAAAAGATACATGCCGGCACTGTTACTGAGTTTGTGCATCCAGTTTGGTAGGAATGCCTTTGTTTGTTTGTTTCGAGACAGGGTTTCCCTGTGTAGCCCTGGCTGTCCTGGACTCACTTTGTAGGCCAGGCTGGCCTCAAACTCACAGAGATCCTCCTGCCTCTGCCTCCCGAGTGCTGCGATTACAGGAGGAATGGTCTTAAAGAGAAATAAAGGTAGCTGCATGTGTGGAATGTGCCTGTAATCCCAGCATTTAGGCGTGGACAAGGATTGCTTCGGGTATGAGCCTGGGCTACATAGCAGGGTCCTGGAGAGTGAGAAAGGTGAAGACAGACAGTTCCAGACGGTGCTCTTGAAATTATTCCAATAGCATGTGCGATTTGTTCTCCGCCACGGAGTTTGCAATTGCACTTGGTGCTGTGAGGAAGCAGCAGTTGTCCTGTCTCCTGGCTGGCAGGGCGTCCCCTGCCCCTGGGAAAACAGGGGTTGAAGGATGCACACACGCCGCAGAGACCGAGTCAGAGGCTGTTCTCCCTCTTCACAGGTTCTACCAGCAGAAGGCAGCTCTGCCTCCCGCAGCCATGAAGCATGTGCTGAGCCTGTATCTGCTGGGCACGGTGCTGACGCTGCTGTCCATCTTCGTCAGGCTGATGGAGTCCCTGGGCGGCATACTGGAGAGCCCTTTGTCTGGGAGCCCCTGGATCTTGAGGGGCCAGCTGGCCAGCACGGAGCCTCCTGAGAGCCTTCCAGACCACTCCTCCAGAGGGGTGCAGTAAACTTCCCGATTCAGCGGTGCTCTTCCACCCACGTCAGCGTGTCCAACCATGAGTCTGTTTTCCAAGAGGCAGAGTCTCCCAAAAACTGTTACTAGGCCTGGGGGCCTGTTCCGGATGTTCCGGACCCTGGAAAAGAGCCTAGTTAAGGCAAAGGTGTGAGTGGGTTGCTATGGCTCTGAGATGGAGATAGACCAGCTGCAGCTGTTGGGAAATCCATTGTTTGTTTGTTTGTTTGTTTGTTTGTTTTTCCAACCCCAAAGGACTCTTTTGGACATAAATATCTTCTGGGTTGTTGGCTAAGGAGTCTCTTTCATGAGAGCTGTTCGGACAGCAGTTAAGGGATAGGGCGGGCTATGAGGAGAGGTTGGAATATGCAGAGTCCGGGTCTCAGGTGTATACGCTTGGGTCTTCCTCCAGAAGTGCACGCGTGCTCGTGTGTAACGTGTACAGAGGGCTGTGAGATGACAGGGCCCGGGGTTGGGTGTTCTGGCCACTGTGTGGCCTAAATTAATTTTTCTAATGCAATAAATGTAAATATATATATTTTCAGTATGTGTCATGTTGACATGTTGGCCCTTGAAATCAGTAAGGAAAAGTTTAAATCCTAAATCTGTGGGTAAAATTGTATTTATGAGGCAGGGTCGCACTCTGCGATTCTGGCTGTCCTGGAAGTCACTGTAGCCCTGGCCTCCACAGGCTGGGCTCACAGAGACGTCTGCCTCTGCCTCCCCAGTGTTGGCATAAAAGTGTGCAAATTCCCTCCTCCCTTCCCTTAGGCTGGAGAGATGTCTCAGAGGTCAAGAGCACTCTCTGTTCTTCCAAAGTTCCTGAGTTCAATTCCCTGCAACTACGCGGTGGCTCATAACCATCTATAATGAGATCTGGTGCCCTCTTCTGGTGTGCAGATGTATAGGCAGGCAGAACACTGTACATAGTAAAGAAATCTTTTTTAAAAGTGTGCACCCCCACAACTGGCCATTTTTACTTTTTCGATAGTCTTATGTAGCTAAGGCTGGCCTTGGCCTCCTGCTCCACCTGCCTCTACCTTCCAAGTGCTGAGATTACAGGCTTCCATCTAAACGTAATGTTGTCAGACTTAGGAGCAAGAAAGCGCTCAAAGCTTCGTTTAGGAACTGAATGTGGTAGTGTGTGCCTATGACCCTCAGCACTTAAGCTGAGGCAGGAGGATTGCCTGAAGTTCTGAGGACAGCCAGCCTTCATAGCAAGACTCGGTTCAAACAAAAAGTTTTGTTTAAACATAAAGTTTACTTGGGGACAGGGCCTTTCAGGTCTGCCCTATATCAAGCAGCTGTTATGGGCCTAGGCAAGACACCACGGATTCAGCCAACTATAGGTTGGACTTTTGATTGTTAGAGCTCAGGGTTGAATTTAGAGCCTTCCACATACCAGGTAAGCACTGTGCTGGTGAAACTAAATCAGCCCTGAAGATATTCTTTAAGTTATGTTCACCAGGAACTATTTTTTTGTCCATGATAAGACGCTTGTCATCTCTCCCTAAACAATAAAATAGAGCAAGTATAGGATTCATATTAGGGACTATAAGTAATTTAGAGATAAGCGAATGTTAGGATATGCTTGGGGCCTTTGCAGATAGCATGCCATTTTATATGAGAGACTTGCTCCAAGGCGGTTGTGGCATTAGTCCCCAGAACCACTTGGTCTTGTGGCTGCCTCTCTATAAAAGGAAACTGCTGGTGCCCAGCCCTTGGGTGTGAGAAAACAAGCATTTCTGATAAGCGGCCCACACTGGCCTTGAGTTTGGATCCTTCCTCCCTAGCCTCAAATTACACTCCAGGTGTTTCCCCTCCCCCAGGCCCGAGCAGCTTTGCCTTTGCTCAGCGGGAGGAGAGCATCTCATCAGTGTCACCAGCGCTGCTGGCCTGGAGCTCAGTGGAGCTGACACGAGGACCAGCCTCAAATTCACAGAGCCCTGTGGGTCTCAAGTGCTGTGTGCCATTATGACAGGCAAGGAGGGTTCCTTCCCCAACCCGACACTCCTCCCTGCCCCAGCAGCCCTGTCCCTTTGCTCGGGTTATGGTCATCTCTGTGCGTACGCCATTTTATGAATCTGATTTACTTTCGCCTAAAGAGCAGAACACAGCAGAGTGTCCTGTTCACCAGCCCTGCCTCCTCGGTGCTCTAGGTACAGCTGACCGAGAAGCCTGTCTTGGGGGTCGGCATTGTCTGTTGTGTATCAGTATAATGCTGCCCACCCATTCTAGGTACACGGTACACTTTTCTTGGCCAAAGGGCTAAGAAACAGTGTATTTATTGGGTCTTGCTATGTAGCCCAGGCTAGCCTCAAACTTAGGACCCAGCTGTTGGGGTTAGAGCTACGTTGTCCCACCTTGCTTCCGGGCATGTGCTGAGGCGAAAGGCAGGCTGCCTCGTTCTGCAGCACAGTGTATGAGGAGGGCCAGCGAGGGCTTGGCAGGTCAAGGCCTGCGTGTGATCTCTGAAACCCACATGGTGGAAGGAGAGAACTGAGTTCCACAGTTTGTCCTCCGAAGGCTGCTCACGCACTGTGGCAGGCTGGCACCCCCCACCCCCCAATAAATGCAAATGAAGAAACGTGCCGGCAGTGGCAGTGCACCCCTTTAATCCCAGCACTGGGGGAGGGCAGGGCAGAAGCAGGTGGATCTCCGAAAGAAAGAAAGAAAGAAAGAAAGAAAGAAAGAAAGAAAGAAAGAAAGAAAGAAAGAAAGAAAGAAAGAAAGAAAATTAATGTAATTGGAGGGCTCTCAAGATGGCTCAGTGGGTTAGGACATGGCTGCCAAGCCTGAGGACCTGTGTTTGATCTCAGGGACCCACATGACGGAAGGTGAGAGCCAACTCGTCTAAGTCCTTTTCTGACCCGCACAAATAAATAAAGAACAGGTGAAAACTAGAACCGGAAACAAGCACACACCTGCCTCCCGTGCAGCCAACGCCACACATGTGTCCTCCTTTAGAGACAGGGTCTCGGCAGACAGTCTCAACTTTGAACTCTTGGCTAGCCTCCTGCCTTAGTCTCCTAGGTGGTGGGGCTACAGGTAATTGCAATGTTTGTATCAGTCAGGGGCATACTAGGTTACATTGTAGCAAGACCACGAAAAATGTCCGCGGCTACCATTGCCTGGATCCCAAGAGGAAGCAGGAGCCTTAACAAAGCCTCTCTCCTTCCAGGGGGAGGTGTCCGCCCAACTCCTGCTGGTTGATACCCCACAATCCCCCCCCCCTTCTCCTCACCTTCCTGACCGCCATCAACCTGGTCTTTTGTTATGTGTTAGACATGTGGGCTTACCTGTGTTTAGAGCTCAGCCACACTGGTAGAGAAACTTGCACCCCACCCAGAGCTTAAGTTTGAACTTGATGTAGGTAAATGGAATTTTATTTTACTTTTTTCCTTTGATGTGTGCGGGAGAGGTGTGTGTTGAGTATCTACCAGGGAAAACACTAGCGGTCGTCACTGGTACTCTCCAGATACTCCTGCATGTGTGTGTGTGTTTGTTTATTTTGAGACAGTCTCACTGTGTAGCCCACAATGACCTCACTCACAAACCTTGCCCTGAGGTTACACAGGCAAACGCGACCACTCCTGGCTAGAAGCTCACTGCTGACCCCTTGTGGTTGGAGGAGGCCATGCGACTAATTTTGCGCAATCAGGTCTTAGAGGTAAAATAAAGGCCTGTTTTGGATTGGAACGCGTAAAGACTGATTCCCAACTTGTATCCCACCGCACCCCCACCCCCGCATGCCCCTCTGATCCGGTAACTGCCGTTGATCTGTATGGAACTTCTCCACCCGTGTAGGCCCTGGAGTGGAGACGCCTCAACTGATCCCTGATGAGAGGGAACTCGGCCTGTACTGAGTGGAGCTGTAGAGGCTGTGGGGAGGGCAAGGTTGCTCCTGCAGTGTCGCAGCCAGCCGGCCGGTACGCTGCACACAGCACCTACAGAATCCCGACCCCGCCCTCACTGACCCCCCCCCCCCCCCCCCCCCCCCCCCCCCCCCCCCCCCC